CTTAGCCAAGTGGATAGCAATAGGAAAGAATACCCAATTGCTTATACTAGCAAGAGTCTACAAAAGGAAGAATTAAACTACGGAGCCACTGAGTTAGAGTGTGCTGCTGTAGTATGGGCTATCGAACATTTTCATAAATATTTGGATACTAATCCTTTTGTATTAGTAACCAATTACATCGCATTTAAATGGTTACAAACAGCTGAACCCAAAGGATGAATCGCTCGATGGATACTTAAACTTCAACCCTACAACTTTAAGATTGTTCATAAACCTGGACAAATCCATTTCAATGTCGATGCTTTATCTTGCTTACCGACTTAGACAATTGCCACCTCTTCTTCATGAATTTAGATCACTATATAGATTTGTATAACTATATAGAAACAGACAGGATACCTGATAATTTTACAGAAGAAGCTAAGAGACAATTAATTAGGCAAGCTAAACATTTTCAGACTAAACATGGATTGTTGTATAAGAAAATCGTAAAGACCCAGACCATCCCTTCTGAGTTGTTAAATAGACCGAAGTAGAACCTATCCTCTATATGATGCATAAACACCCCACTACTGGACACTTAGGAACTGATGCTATGTACTATAAAATAGCAGAAAGATATTATTGGAACCAAATGTACTGAGACATTCAAGAATATGTACGAACCTGTACTCAATGTCAAATTAGAAAAAGAGAACTTGAAAAGAACCTTTTCATCCGATTCAAATTGGACGAGCTTTTGAATGGATTGGAATTGACCTTGTAGAACCATTACTGATTACCCAGCAAGATAGCCGTTATATCATTGTTGCTACCGAATACTTAACTCGATGGCCAGAAGCAAAAGCAGTACTAGATGCAGGTGCTAATACACTTGCCAAGTTTATATTCGAAGAAATTGTGTGTAGACATGAAACCCCTAAAGTTATCCACTCTGACCAAGAATGGAACTTTATTAGTAAAACTATCTGAATCCTGTGTGAACGATTCTTAATCAAGCATAAGTTCTCTCAGTGATGATAAGGCTACTATGTCCAATTGTTTTCAAGCTATTTGGACATATGTCCAAAATTAATTGGACATATGTCCAAAACCAATTGGACAATGTCCAAATCCAAAATTTATCATCACTGATCATAATGATGGATTGCTTAAATATTTAAATGCATTTAAAGTACATATAGAGTTTCTTCCTCCTTATTCACCTGATCTCAACCAGATAGAATTAGCTTTTTCATGTATAAAAAATTATTTAAGACAATATTAGTATTTTGTAGAAAGCTGTTTAGATTCTATATATCCATTAGTTGCATGCTCTCAAATTACCCTCTCATACTCTAATAATTTCTTTAATATAGCGGGTTATAAATAAATATTCATTTAACTTACAATTTGCTATATGATAATGCATTATACTTTGCAGCATATTTACGAAGAGTTTGGCGTGCACCAATAGTATCTACTCCACATTTTTCAAAGTCTTTATTTAATAATTCAGAAAGTAGTCATACAGAAATTTTTTGTTGTTCAAATTTTAATAAAAATTTCTGATAATAATCTTCAGTATCTTCATTTTTATCTATATTTCTTAAAAAATTTTTGATTGTAGGTAATATTTGTTGTAAAGGTAATTGAATTGGCATTTGAAAAGGTATTCCGTAAGTTTGTAAAGGAATATATGTTGAAAATAGATTATAAAATAAAGATGGCATATAATGTTGACCCGAAAAGAGTGAAGGTTGAATAAAATTAGATTGTTGCATTAAGTTAGCTTGTTGTATTAGATTAGCTTGTTGTATTATATTAGATTGTTGTATCGAATTAGGTTGTTGCATCAAATTAAATTGTTGCATTAGATTGGGTTGTTGTATCGAATTAGATTGTTGCATCAAATCAGATTGTTGTATTGGATTGAGTTGTTGTATCAAATTAGACTATCGGATTGTTGTATTAGATTAGGTTGTTGCATCAAATTAGATTGATTAAATTGTATAGAACTAGATTGCAATTGTGATGACACTTTTGTTTTTGTTAAATATTTATATACAAACAAAGGATGTGTAGGTGGTTCTGTTGGTGATGCCATTGCTTTATTCTATATATATTTAAAAATAATTATAATATAAAATAAATTATACATTGTAAAAGTTGTTTATATACTTACAATTTCAGATACCCAAATTGAAAGCATCATGAAAGTAATTTCAATATGATTTTTTTTAGCTCCATCTTTATTTAAACATGGTCGATTATGAATTGTGCAATGATTTTCTTTATGAATTTCTAAGACATTTTTCGCAATTGATGTTTCAAGTAAAGATAGATTTGAAGTTTTAAGAATAGAATTTTTGTTTTTCAAATCTGTAACAATATCATCGTCTGAATTATTATTAGGCTCACGATCCTAAATGAGTATTTAAAATTATTTATATTATTATATATAATAAATATGTATAATATAAAATATTATATTTTACTATACTGTACTTACATCTATTTTGCACTTTATATTTGACCTAATAAATGTTATAAAAAAGGCCATATTGATATTTTTAGATTTATATTTTTGGTAATCAGCCTGAAATTTTTTAAAGTCTTGAGTATCAACTAGTTGAGTACCCGCTCCTGCTGCCTTTTCAGATTTGAATGCAATACGATAATCATTTGGATCAACTGCATTAAAGTTTCAATATTTATATGAATTTCTGAAAGTAGCTCATCAACCATAGATACTTTAGCTGTATACCATTTTGCCAGAAGAGATGTTCCATTTTCAAACTTGATAAAAACTCCATAATTATATTCGTATTTAACTTCTTCACCAGATAAAGACTCATCATCATTAGGTTCATATTCCTCTTCATGATACTCTTTTTCATTAGGATTCCAATCAAGTTTTTCTTCAGATTCGGAAGCTCCACTTGCTATAGTAAGATCACATGTTTCTAATTCAGAAGAGTTATTGATATCATTATCAAGTGTAGAACTTGATAATGCTTTAAGCTTTTTCACTTTCGAAGATAATCTTAATAAAATACTATTGCATCGAGCACACAAAGTAAAATTAAAAGCCTCTTTTGCACTTAATGAATAATTATAATGTTCTATTCTTTGTTGAACAAATTCTACTTTTTCTTTTATCCAATTTGGATTGAATACTCGTGTAAACGCATATTTGACGGCATCTGTCCGATTACTTTTATGTGGCACATTAGACAAGTTACAATTACATTTTTCTTGTCGCAAATCAATTCCACAATACATGCATTTTCGGCAACTAAAACAAGTTCCTCGACGATATTTTAATTTTGTTTCTTGAAAATCGGTACGTGAATAATAAGTACTTGTTATTGGTCATGTTGTGGACGATAACTGATTATTCACTAGGATACTGTTTTTATGACGTGGCCGAAGGTCACGTCATAATACGGTATCTGCTGTGAAGAAATCAGCGATTATCGGCCACAATTTGACCAATAATACGCTTATCCGACATGTCTGGCGTAAACACCGAACGATTTTTTTGTATCTTATTCGGCCTCCTTCTAATATAAATATACAAATTTTCATTCACCTCTTAAGAGGTGAATGAAAATTTGTGTATTGTATTAGGAGGTGGCCGAATAACATACACAAAAATCGTTCGGTGTTCACATAAGACATGTCGGATAATTTATATATAATAAATACGTAATATAGCTTTTTATATTGATCATTGTTGATCACTGATCAAATAATTATATAATTTTTTATATAGATTCTTAATGATTCTTAATGATTCTTAAATTTAGATTCCCTATTTAGAATCACAGATTCTCCGCCATCATCATCATGAAAATCAATGGGTCACACCTTTTTGCAAACCGCCATAATAAACCTTTTCATATTTATTCCAATATTCAAAATTTGCCAACTCATTGTATTGATCATTTTTGTTTTTCATAATATCAGATATGTTATAAAGATTATCCAGATCTTGATTTAATAAAGTTTTGTCGATTCGTTAGTTTAAGCTGCCTATGACGTATTTTTATAGACTTAGTGTCTTTTTTTTTTTCTCGGTGAATCTGAAAGGATTGTAGAATTTATCTAGCGATTTCGGATTATTTTGCACAATTAAGTGTATATATAATCATCCTCAATTTTAGCTATGAACGTTACTCTCAACTAGTGATACAAATCGAAAATCGAAAAATCGATTAGTTGACAACTAATCGATTAATCGATTGAAAATTTTTTGGCAACTTATATTAAAATCGAATAAGAATCGAACAAAAATCGATTGAAAATCGAATAATCGTTTAGTTGACAACTAATCGATTGCAAAATTTTTGTCAATTTGTATCACTACTCTCAACATTATTCTTAAAGAACATTTTAGTAATGAAATGAGTTAAATGTCGCATAAACGTCGAATCATTTTTAACGATAACACTATAACAGCAAACAACTAATCGTATGCATACTTACAAATGTGAATTTATTATTGAAACTCTGTTAAACTTTGTTTAATTGAATGCTCTGTTATTGACACGCTTTTCTTTTTTTTTTTGATAATTATTATACACGTTTATTTAAGATGCATGAATTATAATATCGATTTCAAAGACACAAGAACATTGATATTATTATAAACCATATTTTATTGCTTTTTTTTTTTAATAATATACTAAAGCTTGCTTTTAAATACAAATGAATACAAATAACACCAATAATACAACAATATTTCATCAAATTATACAATATATATATATTACATTAATGCTTACACAATATATAGACGAAAATATTTCGGTTTGATTCTTTAGTCGTTTTAAATTTGTCAGAAATAATTACCTTAAGAATTTTAAATATTTAAATATTCGCTAAAACCGAGAATATGAAATTTTAATTAATAAAACAAGGATACTCATTTTTTTTACAATGCAGGCTGAATATATGAGCTAAACTTTTTTCTTGTTTGTCAAATGTTCCTATGTTGATAATACTGGGCTTTGTGATCAACTATCCATTGCATTATTACTCAATTGGTTGTAACGTGAATTATTATGATATTTATGTCTTATATCAAGGTCTTCTTGCTCAAACTCTTCGTCGTTACTATCCGCTGCTTTATAATTCAATAGTCCATAATTTCCATTATTATATTTATAACTTTTACTATTGACATTACCATCTTCAAATTCTCCTCCGTTTCTTTCTCCATCAATATGCGTTATCGTAATTCCTGGTGTACCACTTATACTTTCTATGTTTTCTATATTTTCGTTAGTTGTGATAATTTGTGGTTTTTCAATTGGCATAGCACTAACTTTATTATGTCTGCCCAACGGAGCTAACGGTAAATTAATTCTTTCAGAATGAGTTCTTGGGATACCATGATTTGCGAAATTTGGTATCCACACATGACCTGGTGGGCTTACCCTTGTCTCAGGAACAACATTAGGTGACGATTGGATATATTCAATAGATTCGTGGCTGTACTTCGATGATGATTCGTCATGATGGTCATGAAATGATGTTTCTATGGTGGAATAATTAGGTGTTTCTTTACGGTTTAAACATTTGTATATTCTACCAATAACTATACAACTGAAAAGTAACGCGGATGTCACTAGACTTATAAAAGGTATTATGTCATAATTGACTGACCATATTATATAATATATCTATTAAAAAAAATGTCAATCAAGAAAATGTATGTCAATAAACATTGTATTGAAAATTAATAAAATAATAATAATAGTAATAATAATAATGGTGATTTTTAACCTGGATAACCAACTGAGGTGCATCTTCAATAAAAAAATTAGTACAGCTAACACGAGATATCCAATCTTTACTTGATTGAGATAATGGTGCTTTAAACAATGGACTATTTGCTAATTTCGATGTTATTAATGTCAATATATTAATATCTATCCCAGAACAGAGCGTAGATATAGCCGCTACGTTGTGATATGTTCTAAACCATTCATAGAATTCTGTATCTTGTGAAAGTTCATGGATTAATAGGAAAAATGATATTATTATGTTGAATCCTAATGGTACTACTAGGCAAAATAAACTTTTTTTTTTTTGAAACGAGTGCACAACAGAAAAATCATTTGTTAGAAATTTATATTAAAAAAATAATAAATAAATAAAAAGAGTGAAATCTAAAGGAATACCTAGGATAAAACAAGATGTTTAAATCCCTCGAATGTATAAGTACAAACATCAAGTCGATAACAAAGTCAAAAATAATAAGTAAGATTTTGAATGGTATAAAGTTGTTTCCCTAAAATAATCATAAGTAAATAATTTCAATACGCTGGAAAAATAATTTCTATTTATAACTTAAATATTGATAGTTCAAACACTAGACTTACATCATTTATTTCTCGATATGAAAATAGTGTAAGAACGGCTAAAAAAAAGGGAATGAGTCCTATGAAAATTAAATTATATCCATAACGAGTCCAAACGTTCTCTAAAAAAAATTTTAATAGTTTAAAATTTTTTATTAATTACACTTATTATATATCTCATTGTGAATAATCAAAATTTAGGAGGTGTGATTATTCACAATAGGATAAGAGTACTTAAACCTTTATATTGTTAAACCTTACTTTTATGCATAAATCCGTATTGACTATCCAAATTACTGCTCAAATTTGAATTAGATATCCATGTAACATCTCTGTTTGTTATCAAATCGTCCAACGTTTCAATAACTTTCAGTACGGTAAGATCATTCACGCTATCGTTTCCCGGTAATATTTGAAATTTTAATAAAATCTGTAAATTATTAGCATCTTTATCCCATTGAAATTGATTAACCGCTACTAAATTTGAGGGATCTATTGGAACTAAATGTGAAAGTTCCTTTGCTAAATTTTTGAGATAATCTGATCTGCCGCTTTTCGAAAGGTTATTGAATTTAAATGACTCATTCGTGTTTAAACGGGCCAATGCGTATTCCGCACCTAAATTAGTTGTTATTTAGGTTTTATAAAGGATATTATATGATAGAGATTTAATTTATGATTAGTTCGATAATTAAAATTTATCTCACGAAAATAATAAACTTACCCCCAAGGTCTTGTTCTGGTTTTGCTCCTACAAATTCCAATATACTTTATCAATAATCTTCACGCAATACATATGAAATGTCATCCTTCTCACCTGTTGTAAAACTCCAGTTAGCACCTGGCAAAGGTTCATTAGATATATAATCTTTAAGAAAATTATTATCCATAACAATATAATATTGACTTTGTGGAGAAGCAAATGTACTACTCAGAATCGTTATCGAAATCACCTTAAAATCTGATGAAATATTAAATTTATTACTGTTGTTCTGTGCATTATAATATAATCTTGGTATCAAATCTTTGCCACTATCTTGATATATTGTAATATTGTTTACTGATAATGCAATTTGACTATAAAATGTCATGTTGATCGCTAGTTCCGTGTCCGAATAAGCTTCAGTTATATTTGGGAATGTTATGTTGATATCTAAATTTTCAGGAACATGATCTATAAAAATTTTCCGAAATTAAAACTCAATTAGAACTCATGAAATTTCTTTCTTAAAATGACAAAAAAAAAAAAATTAGGTACCGAGAGTAACAAATTTTTTTGCAACAGTTGTCGTTAATGTCCAATTGCTTGTATTTGGTGTTGCAGAATTTACATCCGAAAACATCCAAACAGTATTATTAGTAAATACTCCATTTGGGATCACAAGATTCCCAGGCAATGAAGGTGAATCCCATATGTTAAAATAATTTCCTTGGAGATCATAAATATAACCAGTGAAAGTGTTATTAATATTAGGTTGCCAACGAACAACTAAAAGATATCCACCACTCCATAATTGGTACATCGTATCAATATTAAAAGTAGTATCAGTGATGCTCAATGTCGTTGCGTTTTTTACACCCCCACTTGAGTAGAATGCTACTCTAACGTAACGTGTAGGCGTATTTGAAATGTTACTTTTAATGCTAAAAACACAAGCTAACCCAGGTTCATAATATGTATTATCACATGTCTCAATATTCATTGAAATTGCTTGTGACATGTATTGATATATTAATGAGGGCTGTGTCGTATAATATGATGGAGATGGACGAATAAATACTACACTAGCCATCCAATAAGCGTCGATAAAGAATGTATTACTATTGACTGAAGGTCCCGTCATGACGAAACAATATCCACCATCGATCGTTGCAATTATTTTGTATTGATGCGTTGGAACTATAGGAAAGCTGCTATTACTTGCAATGCTGACATTACGTTGGTCTCTATAATATATGTATATATTTTTTTTATTACACAATGTTTTCAAATATATTGAATCACGATCATTTTTAAAACTTACGTAATAGAATATTTTCGCCATCTTATAGATGCATTTTGAGACACACGGTTAACCCATATAAATCCATATCTCAGGGAAGAATCGACCACTAATGTACCCAATGATGATGCATCGTTTGTAGTAAAATTGATAAATCCAAGGCTCAATTCTCTTTATTAAATTGATAATTATATTATGCGAATCATAGATTAGAATTAATATCGAATCTGAATTAATGTGTGTATAAAAAAAAAAAGTTTTGACTTCTTACTGAATAACATTCCCTTCCCAATCAATAAACTTTCCAATTTCCTCATGAGTTTCCGGACCAGTCCCATTATTAATTTGTAAAAACGCGATCATAGTATGATTATATGACAAGGGAAAAATACGAATCAAGTCACGTGGTGGATTGGTTGAAATTGGACAAAAATTAAAAGTAGGAATCGCGGTTATATTAGAGTTATTTGTATCAATGTTGAGGATCTTTTCATTTGGATATATTAATCTTAGATACAAGTAAGGCTCAGAACAGTTATCTGCACCACTACGAACTAGTCGTAGGATTATCGGTCCATTCGGATAACTTGTTGCACTGAATACATGAAGACCGCTGCTTGGTTCTACGAACGATGAAACATTATAATTATTATATGGTACTGAAGGAAATGGCAATACAAAATTCGTTAAGGGAGGAGTTAGAGATAGATTTGGTATTTCATCGGCAGGATATTGAGGATAATCTATCGAATAGCATGGTAGTGCACATAATATCGTAAATAGAACGATAATTTTCATTAAAGTTATCCTAGACATTGAACAAAAAAATCATTATAAAGAAAAAGAATTTTCTTCATCTTTAAATTTCATTTCGGAGATCTTTTTAAATCTTGAATATTCCGTGTGACAAACAATCCAAAACAAATACACATGCGCACTTCGTTTATAAACATATTGTTCTAAAGTTTTAAATTACTTAGCGTTGGCATTCAAATGAATTTGTTATTTAGGGATTGATGAACTGTCTGACAAATTTAGCCTCAGCCAATTAAATCATCATTTTTCTAGTCTGGTAGAAACTCAGGAAATATGATTCCATATCGGTATAATCATGTCTAAAATTAAACTTAATGCTAGTCGAATGATTTTTGTATTGTAACACGAGTTCTTCAATGACTTATCAATATTAGCCTCTTGAAAAATATATTTGTTTCAAAGTTGATTACATAAAAAAGAAAATCGGTTTGTAATAAATTTCTAATATACGTATAAATGATGATGATTCATATGGTAATTTATTATAAAAATATTTCAATTGAGTTGAGGCATGCTCTTCGTGCCCATAAGCATGCCTTTTTTTGTGCTCCGTTTATTAAAAAAATACACTTCTGCATTGAAGTTAATATTCTGAATTATTAAACCGCCAAAAAATTGCTTTCCGTAATTCCCGAACTACTGGTGTGCAAGGTTGCCGAAGCGAAGATTATAGTTTTGGGGTATATCCAATATTTTAGTACATATATATTAAAGTATTAGCATTTTGATCGGTTACATATCACGTTGTCTGTTAATTCCTATTAATCTGATTGGTTTGGTTTAAAATTTGAAGTAGCGATTTATGAAATTTGATTTTTAATGCCGGCCAAATTCAACGGCTGGGTCGTACAAAGTTAATTGATTATCATGATGATCGACCAATCAAAGCTCGAACGTTGTTAACCAGTTAAAAACATGACTTTTTATATAATTCTTTTTTTTTACTACCTAAATAATGTTACAAACTAAAATTTTTTGAGAGTGGTAAACCTGGCGGAGTAGTTTATGTTTTACACATATATTATCTGTGTTTTTGCACTATGGCTTAACCCATGTATAGTAATTAGAAGTTATTTATTTTGTAGTTATTTATTTTTGCTTTTGCAAAGTTTACTCAAATCTTTTTTTTTTTTTTTTTTATATTGCCAAATTGCCATGACAGGTGAACTTTATTAGGAGTAACATTAAATGTTATTACATTTTTATATTGTTACATGCTGCAGTACATTTCTAGATCTATAAAAATATATCAAGCCATACATGCACCTTTTAGGTGCCTATTTAAGTAGTCCGTCCGAAGGTTTTACACTAGATATTGTATCTATAACCCAACTAGGGAGTTACCCATTTAAACTCTTTGATATTCCCAGTCCTGCACTGTTCCATTTGGTTCAAACCATCTCATCTCATGCTGTACAAAGACCATCCAGGCTGGCATTTCCCCATTAACTTTTACCTCTTTATGGATAAACCCTTTGAATCTAATCAACTAGTATTTACCTGAGGAAAGGCATAGTAAATGCCTCCTAAATCCTTCTACATCTCATACATTTCCAGATTTGGTTCAGAGATATTGTGCTATGGCTTTACCCATATACTAGTGAGCCTGGTTATCCAAGCTACACATATCCTCTGTTCTTGTAAGGTTCATTTCTACCCCAGTATCTACATTCAAACTTTTTTTTTTTCTGGATTCTTTATCAGTCTCTTCCTTGTTTCTAGCTAGCAACCTGAAAAGGTTGGTCTGCCCAGGCTTTAGGTGCCTTATAGTTTCTCTTTCTTTGGTATATAATTCTAAAACACATGTTCTTTTCTCTGGTTGGTGATCCAGCAGTTTGGCTAGTGTATCTCCTACTTAAAGACCTGGTCACTCAGTTCTCCAGTCTCAGTTTCTAGTTCTGAATTCGGTTTTCTTGTGGCACTGTCAAAAGTTTCCACTACTCCTTACTCAGGTCTTCCCAAACGGGTTTCGATCATTCTAGTTTCTTGGTATTTATACGCCAAAGCTCTTATAATAAGATGGTGCAACCAAGATTACAAATTGTAAATCCAACTGATCAATAGATAATCATTACCAAACACAAGCTTAATTTTCAAAATCATCATCTGTGGGATTTGAACTCTAGACCTGCTGCTTGGAGAGGTGACAACTAGACCACTTCACTAAGCTACTACACCCTTACTTAAATTTTAGTACTCATATACTCATCTCTTTCTAATATATAAACTTTTTTTTTTAGTTTTTAAAGCTTTTAATCTATTGGCTTAGAAAGTTAGATTTGCCAAATCTTTAGTTTATACAGTCATCCTCCTTTACAGTTACCTCCTATATAGTTACACCTCATTATAAGCACCATTTTTTGAAAAATTTATTATTAAAAAAAACTTAATATAATCACATTACTATTAAAATTTTATAACTATATTATTTTTATATAAAACAAACCACTGTTACAATGCTATAGCCTTCTTAGTATAAATATAGCAAAGTAACAAGATCATCCGGTGCAGTGATATACTTTATGAATATACATGAGATGGACATGAAGTATATACTTTAACTTCATAGCAGGAGGCAAACGGTTCAAGATAATAACAGTTTATAGATAATAATATTTATTTATAATAAATTCATGGTAATAACCTTGCCTGTAGGAATTACCCTAGAGAGGGAATATCACACTTTACAAGTAGAGAAGGGTAAAAGGGTGGGGCTAGATTCTATGAGAAGGTAGTGAACTCTAACTTGGGTAGAAAGGGCAAATGCTCCCTTTTTATAACTTTTCTACAGATAGAAGTGTAATGGTATAATTGCTATACCATATAGAGGTACTTAGAGGCACTTTGTGTGGAGGCACTCAGAGGCACTTTGTGTAGAGGCACTCGGAGGCACTTTGTATAGAGGCACTCGGAGGCACTTAGAGACACTTGTATCGTGTACTATTTTACTTAGCCGCAGTATTACTGTGCCATATTATTTTACCCAATGAAGTCTCTTCTATACTGAATATAATTAACTATAACTAATAATAATATAATAATAATATAATGATAACTATAATACTATAATATAATAATATAATAAATAATATATTATATAGAATATTTCCTATACTATGCTATGCTAGTATTACTCTGTATTACAACCTACTTTGTAACATTTTCCTTCCCTTAAGATTTTACTCCATAAAATCTAAATTTAGACTATCACAGAAATTTATAAGAGTGTCAAAGTCATGTACGTTGATATCATTAAAGTCTTTAACTTTAATATAACTTGTTTAATAAATATGGTCATATCCTTGCTTCTAAAATAAATAGAATACTCATTTATAAGTTTTGGCCTGGGTTCTTCCAATTGTAGTCTTGATATCATCTTTATGATACCTCCCATATGAAAGGCATATGCCAATGCATTAATCCAGTTATAGTTTTTCCGGTCTATAACTTCTTTGTATTTTCGTAAAAGAATAGTAAAGCACTTGTTTGGATTAGGTTCTATAGGTACAGATACTGAGGATATTTGGTCATTCCTACGAGATACAAGATCTGCTTTTATCATCTCAATTGAATTTCTAAAAGAGGTAATTTGGCTGTTGAGACTTGCAGGGATACTGCATGTGTGATCTGTATCCTGTATAATTGTTGTATTGTTCGGATTGACAATAATAGTTCCTGTATATTGTAACTAGGTACAAAGGTGTTGGAGTTCATACACCTTTTTGTAAATCTGAGAATTCAACCAAGTAGGATAAGTAGTCATTTTGTATTTTTATAAGTGGTTTTTATAAGATTTTTAAGATAAGATGGTTTGGGGTTTGTTGGAATTAAGCTAAGGAAGGCCAATTCTTGTTCTTTAA